CTAGGGCTTTCTGGTCGGGTGGGGGTGGCTCGACAAGCAGTGACAATAGGCGAGTCAGGACGCTTCGCCCCAGCCCCCCTTAGCGGCGCGCAGCGTGGGGTAGGGGGAGGGGAAGGCTTCTTATAGAAGCCTTCACCCCTACCTCTACCCTTGCCATCGCTCCGACGTCCATTCCCCGTGCATCTTTCGGTTCCGTGCGTGTTTTTTGGCTCGATGGTCAAGGATGCTCCTCGACCCAGACCCCCGACGTCATGCTTTTCTCATTGCGTCGACCCCCAAAAAGGTCTCGACCCACTCCCCGGGACTGGCTTCTGATCCTGAAGCGTTTTCCGACGCTCCCGAGACCCGGCAACGGCCCCCGCGGAGGCCGGAAATAACAAAACCTTCCGTTGTGATTTGTTCATGACTCGAGGGGGTCTGGTCCTCGGCCATGTCCACCTACATGCGGATTTTGGACGAAAAATAACAAGATGCAAAACATGAACAAACATGACACCAAATGATCGAAACATCGTTCCCGACTTTCTGTGACTATTTTGGAACCTTCCTCCTGTAGAGGGACGTGCCCGACTTGAGGGTACCCCCCCCCTGCGAGTGGCCGGCCCCCCCACGGCGTGGCGACCGCTGGAGCACGCCCGCCAGCGCCCGCCCAGCCGCCCGCCGCCGGCCCGCGCCGCCGGCCCGCGCCGCGGCGCAGCAGTGCGCCGCCGCGAGGGCGAGGTCGGTGGGCAGGCCGCAGTCGGGCACCTGCCGCCAGGCAACGGCCGAGGGGCCACCCAGACCCCCTCGCACTGTGGAAAAAGATCACGACGGAGGCTTGTCGCCATAGTTTCGGCCTCCGGGTGCCCTTCCTGGGCCTCGGAGCCGTCGAACAACGACTCAGGATGAGAAGCCCGTCCCGGGCAAGGGGTCCAGAACTCCTGGGGTCGACGTTGTGAACAAAACGCAACGTCGGGGGTCTGGGGAGGGGCAACGTTGTGTCTTTTGTTCGCAACGAGCCTGGGTCGGCACATCCCTTCCTGCGCAAGCTTAATTATCCTTCCCTGGGCCCCAGGCACCATGCTGATCAGCTCGTCCAGCTGCGTCCAGCCGCGGCCACGACGCCCCCCGAAGGTGCCCGAAAAGCGCGAAAACTTGATGATCATCCCTCCAGCCTCCAAGGCTGAGGGGCAACGATCGGGGGGGGGGGGGGCCAGCTCGGGGGGGATATATCGAGCTGGAATCGGCGTTGCATCGCCAGCACATGGGCGATAGGCCACCAATCTAGCAAATTCGCACGTTCCTGGGCGGGGTGGGCTATCAGGCTGCTATCGGCTACAAAAGGGCGATTGGGGGTCGATGCATTCCTCCCTATGCCTATCCCCTCCAACGTTGCCCTCGAACGGCGGCGGCGGCCAGGCAGATTGGGGCGACGAGCTCCTCCTCCTCCTCCTCCTCCTCCTCCTCCTCCTCCTCCTCATCCTCCGCCTCCGCCTCTGCCTCCGCCTCCGCCTCCTCCTCCTCCTCCTCCTCCTCCTCCTCCTTGACAAGACTCACGACCCTGATATCTTGGCGATGCGTTTTTTGCAACGGGCGTTTTCGCTCGTTTTCTCGGGCCCCGCGACCCTCGCAGATCGATCGGGCCCGAACAATGACGCAGAAAGATTGGGTGTGCGGCTCGGGTCGTGTTTTTTGGGCGAACAATGACACATGTACATGTACGCCCTCCGCGGTCTTGCCTGCACGAACGTCCTCGTTGACACGCACTCAAGGGGAAGCTAACCGCGTACGTGTACATCTGTTGCTGGCCTCTGATTTTTTGTGATGTTGCAATTTGTTTGCAACGTCGGATCCCATGGGACGTGAAGTCCGCCGACCTCTTGGGGTCACCGGCGTGTTGGATGCTTCACCCTCCCCAAACCCCTCCCCCCGGGGCCCGGCCTGGTCGATTTGGACGGGGGGGGGTGTCTGGCTGGCCCCGGCTGAACGCGCCACGGGCATCACGACGGGCCATCAGCAAGAGGGCCCCGGGTCGCCGATGGATCGTTCCAAGACGCCCAAGATGGTCCCCAGACGGCCCAAGAGGCCCCCGAGACGCCCCAAGAGGCCCCCGAGAGGCGTCCCAAGAGGGCCCCCAAAAGCAAACATCGTTTCATTTCCTAAGGGAAACGTTTGATTTTAGCACATTCGCCTCTTGGGCTTTTACAGCGTCCGAGACAGCCCAAGAGGGCCCCAAGACGGCCCGAGAGGCCCCCAAAAAGGGCTCCAGGATGGGGCCCAGGCGGGGGACCTGAACTGAAATTTCGAGCCCTCGGCCCCAAGAAGCCTCCATGAGGCCCCAAGAGGCCCCCAAGAAGCCCCCAAGAGGCTCCAAGAGGCGCAGCAGTGGCCCAAAAGAGGCCCCCAAAGGGGCCAAAACGCCCCCCCAAAGGCTTCAACAGTGCTGCCAGGAGGCCCCCGAGAGACCTACCAAGAACCCCCCAACGGGTCGGCGGTGCGGCGTAAGCCAAAGAATCATGCCTTCTGGGGGCACCGGGGCCATCAAGCAATGATCATTGTCTGACGGCCAGGGTCGACTCGGGACGAAAAGCCGGTCTTTGGGAATGGGCTTGCGTTAAGTCGGGCATGTCCCCCTACAGGCGGATTTTGGGCGAAAATCGAATGATAACCCAAAAATATGTTAAAAAAACGAGTCGAACAGTCATAGGAAAGTCGCCCCCGGAGTATTTTTGGACTGATTGGGGATACTCGTCCTGCAGAGGGACGTGACCGACTTCAGGCTTGCGGTCGCTTCGCGTGCCGCGGCGGCGGCCCCAGCGACACGCTGCGCCCTGCAAGCAGACAGCGCGCCTCCCCGCTCCGCGCTGAAGGGGCGCCAGGAGAGCTCGGGGCGTCGACGCTCGGCGACTGGGGTGTGGTTAGCGTGTCGCGCCACAGCGTGCTGGGCCAAAACCAGCGGCGCGACACGCGAAGCCAGAGCTCCTGACCGTAGGGCGGCGGTGGCCGGGCCGGTAGAAGAAAGATACCCCCTAGACCCCCTTCTAAGACATGATGCGTGCGACGAAAAGCTTTCCGCTCATGTTTGGTTTCCCCAAGGCCCCTGGACCGTCAACAAACGACTTCGGATGAAAACCCGGTCCTGGGGAATGGGTCGCGACCACCAGGGTCTACGTTGTGAACAGATAGTTATCATGGCGTCGTGGGCCTAAAATTCTTAGAATGCCCCGGTCCTGGCCAGACCAGTCTTTGGTCCAGGATCGGTGCATAAGCCCTCCTGGCCCGGCCGGGAAGGAAGTATTCGGCGGCGCGCCCGAGGGGCAAGTGAGCCAAGGCAGGCCTTCTCAGAAGGCCCCAGGTCTTCTCGCGCGGCCGATTCTGAGCAGCCCCGCCGCCCTCTCAGAGGGCCTGCCCCCTCTCGCTTCCCCGCGGGCGCGCCGCCGAGCAGCGCCCTCCCGGCCGAGCCAGGAGGGCCTATGCATCGATCCTGGGCCAAGGATGGTCTGGCCAGGATCGGCACATGCGCATAGTTTTGGTCCCATGACCCGCGACGCCATGATTACTGGTTGCTCACAACGTCGACTCTGGAGGTCTCGACCCGTTCCCTGGGCGCCGCCGAGAAGCATCTGCACGGATCCTGGGCCCCGGGGCGGGCCTGGCTGGGGCCGCCCGAGCCGAGGGGCGGCACAGAGGCGGCGGCCGAGGAAGCCGGCGGGCCGATCTTCGTCCTGGGCCGTCGTCTTCTGTCAAGTGCCCCCCCCCTTTGGCCCCCTCGCGTCTTGAAGTTGCCGGACACGTGCCCAGCCCCGTTCCCACACGGGGCGAATACGTGTATGAACGCTCCATACACAAGAACACAGCGCCCAAAAAACACGAACAGCGCTGCCCTCATATCCGCCGTGCATCCCAGGAGCACACGAACGTGGCTACAGTTGGGCCTGCCTGTCGCAACCTCCATTGGGGCCGCGAAGCCTCATGTGGATCCACGTGGCCCCCATGCTCCGCCGTGCCTCCCAGGATCCCACAAAACTGGCGACGGATGCGCAATTTGCAACGTCCCAAGGAGCAGCTGGGTCTGAAACGCGTGCGCGGGGCCACTCCCCGACTCCGCCGTGCATCAAAGGAACACACGAAACTGGCGACGGTTACGCAGTTCGCAGCCATCCAGGGACAAGCGAGGTCCCGTCTGGATCTGAGTGGCCCCCAACTCCGCCGCGCCTTCCAGGAACCCACGAAACTAGCGACAGCTCGCAGGAGGAGCACAACAAGAGGAGAGAGGAGGAGTCGCGACCACAGGATTGCAAAAAAAACTGCAAAAAGGTTTTTGTTGCAATCCTTCGTTCTGTTCAATACGAGAACCCCACACAAAAAGGTTGGGAAATCTGGGCGGGATGTTTTTCGCCCCCCGGAGCCCCTAACTGGGCCGCGGGGCCGAAAAGCCGGGCGGGCCCAGGGCATGGGTCGAGACCCTTGAGGGAGCGCGATCCACCACCACTGGCTTGGGCAAATTCTCTACGGGGAGGTCAGATACCAGGCCCCCCCAAGCAACAAATCCCACGGGGGGATCGGACACCAGGGGGCGCTACCCCTTAGCATCCTGCCCCCCCCCCCAGGAAGAACCTAGGGGGTCCAGAACCCTCGGGGGGTCCTGAACCGCCCCCTTTACCCCCAAGGAAAATCATTCGCGGGGTCTAAACGCCGCCTCCCCCCGGCCCGACAACGACGACGACGCCGCCGACGACGACGACGACGGACAACGGACGACGACGACGACGTTCTTGGACGGTGCTCGTGTCGTTTCACCGAGCCGAGCCGCACGCTCACGCACGAATTCGCGCGCGCCGCTCGCGTGACGGTTCACCTTTACCCCGCCAACTGCTGGTTTGCGGCGTCCCCAAAGACTGACACGCGGCCCACCCACCTGGGCGTGCCCCTCCGCAAAGGCGGGGTACCACCGTAACCGCCCTAATCTCGCCCCCGTGCGCGCGGTTTGCGAGAGGCCCGCGCCGCCTGCTGGGCCCCCATCAGAGGCGCCGTCCTCGCCCTCCTTCTCTGCCTCCATGCCCCTCAGCGCGGCGCGGAGCATGTCGGCGGCCTGCTCCAGGTCCTCCAGCTCCTGCTGTGCCCCCCCCGCGGAGCACCACCCTGGCCAGCTCCACGACGCCGTGGGCCGCCTGCTGCGGGGTCTCTGCCTCGCCGGGCTCGGCTCCAATGGCATGCCCCATGGCGCGGCACAGCTCCCACAGCTCGCGCTCATCACCCTGGAAGATGTCCTCGGCCTCCACCAGCAGGGCCATGGCAGTCTCCCTCAGGGAGTCGATGGCGCAGCCCTCCAGATGGATGCCCAGGAGCTTTGCCATTTCGGCGCGCGTGTCCATCAGGTGCTCGTCGTCGACCCCCCCGAACGCCTCCGCGGAGCCACCCGAATCGTCGCCGCCGCTCCCAGTGGGCACCGCCAGTGCCCCTGCCTCCGATGCCCCTGCCACTGATGCCCCTGCCACCGATGTCCTTGAGCTGCCCACCGCCTCCCCCGCCGAAGCCGCAGCCCTTGATACCGCCTCCCCTAGCACCTCGGCCCCCGATTCCGCCAGGCAGATGGCGGCCTCTAGTAGCTCCTGGTCCTCCTTCTCCTGCTTATTTTGGTCGCCCTTGCCATTCCGATTGCCCTGCTGCTGCGTCAACACTGCCGACCTGGTCCCCACTGTCGGCGGCCTTCACGACTGCATCCGACTCCTCGGCGTCGCTGGTGCCCGCGCCCGGCTCCACGGCCAGGGCCTGCATGCCCGACGGGCGTGCCACACCCTTGTCCTTCGCCAGCTTCACGCGCCACCATCGCTGCAGCCTGGCCGCTGCTGCCTGCTCCCAGCGCCCAGCCAGGGTCCGACGCGTCCCATTGCTCTTGACTTCCCACCAGCCTTCGCACTCATCGTGCTCAGCGCCGTACTGCTCCTCGGTATTCTCATCCAGGCCGCCGGCTTCGTTGGCCCCGTCCTCCTGCTGCCTGTCGTCCTGCCGCCTGCCTGGTGCGGGCATGCACGCCGCCGCGCTGCCCGCCTGCAACGCCTGCCACTGCTCGAGCAGTGCGCGGCTCCACCCAGCGTCGATGCCCTTCCGGAACGCCACGCCGAGCAGCGCAGCCTGTGCTGCGTCGGTGCGGAGCGCCGCCTCCGCAACCGACGCTGCAACGGCAGCCGCCGTGGCCGACGTGGCCCCCGCGCGCACCGCCGCCTGGACCGCCGCCGCGGGCAAGCCCTGCGCGCGGTCCGAGCCGCAGCCTGCCATCGCGCGCTCCTGTAGGCGCTAGTCCCTTCTCGGGCAGCCTTCTAGGCCCTCGAGCAGAAACTACGACGACGACGACGACGACGACGACGACGACGACGGCAACGACGGCGGCGGCGGCGCACCTGTCCACATCGCCCGCGCCAGGCGCCGGTTCTGATAGAATCCTTCTAGGGCTCGATCCAGCTCTCTCAGTATCCTACTAGGTCCCTGCTATACCTAATCCTACTCGATTGCCCACTCTACTCGATCTACCCTACTCTACTCTACCCTACCGTGACCCCCTAACAGACTCTATTATGGTCCATTGTGCCTCTAGTCTATTCCTCCTCTCCTCTCCTCTCCTCTCCTCTCCTCTCCTCGCCTCTCCTCTCCTCTACCGACTCTACTTTACCCTGCTCTGCTCTACCTTACTCTACCGTTCGCTAACCTACTCAACTCTCTTGTATTTTGTCAACTCTCTACTCTACCCTACCCTACTCTACTCTACCCCGCCCTACTCAACTCAACTCAACTCTACTCTACTCTACTTCCTACTCTACTCTACTCAGCGGTATTCAATTATAGTTATGTTGTGCTTTACGCATCTACCCTTTTTCTACTCGACTCTACTCTACTCTGATATCATCAACACCCTCCTACTCTATTCCACTCTACTCTCCCCTACTCTACTCTCCCCTACCGTATCCGTCCCTACTCAGCTTGACATTACTCGACCTCTACTCCTACTCTACTCTACTCTACTCTACTCTATGCCTAGTCCAAATACTGTGCTTATCGTCGTCGTCGTCGGCTGCGGTTGCGGCGTCGTTGGCGTTCGGCGTTCGGCGTTCGACGTGGGCGTCGTGGGCGTGGGAGTGGGCGTGGGCGTGGGCGTGGTCGTCGTCGTCGCCGTCGTCATCGTCGTCTTCGTCGTCGTCGTGGTCGTGGTCGTTGCCGTCGTCGTCATCGTCGTCGTCGATTTCGTCGTCGGTGTCGTCGTGCGTCGTGCGTCGTGCGTCGGAGTCTTGCGTGGGCGTCGTCGTGGCCGTCGTCGTCGTCGTCGTCGTCGCCGTGGGCGTGGGCCTCATCGTGGGCGTGGGCGTCGGCGTCGTGGGCGTGGGCGTGGGTGTGGGTGTGGTCGTCGTCGTCGTCGTCGCCGTCGTGCGTCGTCGTGGTCGTGGTCGTGGTCGTGGTCGTGGTCGTGGTCGTTGTCGCCGTCGTCGTCGTGCGGTCGTGCGTCGTGCGTCGTGCGTCGGCGTCGTGCGTCGGCGCTCGTCCTCCCCCGCGGCCCGGAGCGGGCGTCATGGGCCGAGGACGGTGGAGAGCCGAAGCATGGGGCCCCTTCGGGCGGGTGGCACTGGGGCGCAGGTGCAGCCTGCAGCCTGCAGGCCGGCTCTGGCCGCCAAGGAGCAGGCGGCGACACAGGACACTGACACGTGCCTGCGTTAGATCTTCAGCACGGGTCGCTTCGTGGGAGGTGCTCTCAGCGGGGGGGGAGGAACCAGCAGGGCCCCTCGAGGGCCCCTTTGGAGCCGGCAGGGGCCCAAGAGGAGCCCCAAAGGGCCCCTGTGGGGCCCCTTTCTTCACCCCCCCCAATGCGACCCGCCCGACCCCCCCCCTTCAACGCCGACCCCCGAACCTCCTCCGAAGGCCTACGCTCCCTGCCATCTCAGAAGGCCCCCACCCCTCGCCCTGCAGTCGGACTTCATTGGGCAGGACACGCGAGAGGACAAAAGACCCTTCCGAGGGTCACATTGCCATAGGAATGCAGGAGGCACGGGTCGCGAAACACAGGACGCAAACATTGCAAAAGTACCCTTGATTTGGCAGAGTCGACCTACTAATCCAGGCCGACTGTATTCCCTTGTGCGCGCCGCCGGCACTCCTCGCCGCGGGCTCGGACACGGCTCAGCTGTGCGGCATGTTCGTGTCGTGCCGAGTTCTTCGTTGGCTTCGGACACCGCGGGGATCGTTCAACCTGGAACAATCGGCCGTAACCGGAATGTCAAATCGCTCAACATCGACTGACTCTGGGTCGCCCGCGGCGCTCAACATTGAACGCGGGCGGCGGGGTCGACTCTGGTCGACACGACGCGAACCTAGCGTACATCACCACCGTCCCCTGGCCAGGGCCGGCCCTGGGACGGCACAAGACAGCCATCGCTGGCGGTGCGCACAAGGGGGTGGAGGGAGGGGGGGGCTTCTTGGAAGGAGGCTTCTTCTTAGAAGGCGCCAGCCTTACATCTATAGATGAGGCCCGTGCCTTCTAAGAAGCAGGGGTGCTTCTAGGAAGCCCTCCCCCCTCCCCTATCTTGAGTATCGTTTCATCGATCCCCATCCCCAGCGGCGTGGTCTGGGCCCCGCTGGCCGATTTACCCCCCAAATGGGGATACAGGTCGTTCCCTTCGGGTTTCGAGGGGTGCATCCCCAACCGGGGTGGTAATCTGGTGGGGGTCTCGAAGGGGATGTAGATGGGGATGGGGCCCCCGGGATGGGGATCGGTTAACCGATGTGTTAAAACAAAGGAGTCCCAGCCAGAAATGTTCTAAGAACATTCTGCGCAGACCACACAAAAAGGCTCTTGGAACATCCTTCGGTGGGCCGATCGGCGAGCCAGGACGCTTCGCCACTGCTTGATCCCCCCCCTCTCCCCCCTCCCCTCTACCTCCCCCCTCTGCGCGTGGCAGCCATCGTACCCCCAAGGCCACAGCAGGAGCGGAGGGGCCCCGCCGACCATGGCGAGCCTCGGCCACGGGCCGGCTCCCTGGCCCGGGCCCGAGGGGCGGCCCGGGAGAACGCGGCGCCCGCCAGTGGGCTCAGAGCGGCCCGTCCACCTCCACGCCTCGGCTGTGCAGCCGGGAGGTCCGTGGTGCGCACAGCGTCCTCCCAGGCGGGCCCGCACGGGCGGGCTCGGAGGACCGCGCCGCATGGCCGACGCATCGACCAGGCATCGTGCCGAAGCACTGGCGACGTCGGCGGGTGCATCGGTGCCGTCGGCGTGGAGAAGCTCGGGCTCCCCATCGAGCGATGCGGCGCGGGCGCGGCCTTCCGACCCCACCTGCTCGGGCCCTCTCTGGGAGGCCCAGCTGCCCTCCGTGGACGCGGAGGGGGGGGGGCGCCAAGGAGCTCCGGAGGCCGCCGATGCGCGCAGCGAAGTCCAGGTGGCGTCCCAGCAGCGCCGCGCAGGCCGCCTGCAGATCCTGGCCAGTCAGAAACCAGGAGGCGGGCCGTGCAACGGGGCGACGGCGACGGCGATGACGACGACGACGACGACGACGACGACGACGATGACGACCACGACGACGACGACGACGGCGACGGCGACGGCGACGGCGACGTCGGTCGCGACGAGGAGAGCCACGGGGGGCAGGGCCACGGACGGGGGTATGAGGCAGGACTCCAGAGAACGCTTGCTGCTCGCCCCGCTTCTGCCGGGGGGGCGGGGCACTGTGGCCACAGTCGGACGCAGCTCGGACGAGCTGGGGCGGGCGCAACGCGCAGTGGGGGAAGGGGTTGGAGGGCCGAAGCCCCGTCGAAACCTCCTGTCGGGGTCGCTGGATATATCCCTTCGGCGGCGGGCGAGGGGTGGAAGTGAGAAGGAGAAGGCCTTCTGCGACCAACAAGGAGCACATGAGAAAACCGTAGTCGCCGCAGTCCCGCACGTTCACGCGAGTCCTGGAGGGTAGATCACGAAGGGCTCTGAGTACGGGCCGATCGGCTCCCAATGAAAATTGGCCTCAGGCTCGAACGCGGGCGCGTTGGGGTTGAAAGCGAACGCCTCCGCGGGAACGCACGCATGGTCCGAAGCGGCAGCGGCCAGAGGAGCGTGGCAAGCCAGGTCGCCTTGCACCTTGACCTTCTTGAATGAGTTGATGATGCCCTCTGGCAGCTGGAGGGCGGCTTGAAGGGCACGAAAGGCATCGCCAAGCCGGTGGCTGTGAGCCCCGAGAGCCCCGTCGGCCCGCCAGTGTAGCAGAAGAGCTTTTCCCAATGGCACCACTCGAGACCGCAACTCCTCCTCGACGTCGGGCGGGACTGTCGATCTAAGAAAAGCATCTTCAGCTGCGCGAGCTGCAACTTCACAGTCCAGGCCTGCGAAGGAGCCTTTACAAGGCTGCAGCGGAGCGGCGTGCCCGGGCTTTGCCTCTGAGCTGTTCATCGCCACATGGCCCACCACCAGCAAGAGCTGGGGGGCCTCCCGAAACCACGGGCACCCGGCTTGAGCCAAAATGGCCAAGGAAACTCCACCACACCACACAAGTATGTTCACGGGAAGGCTCCACTGCGGCTCCTGGCATACGCCCATCTACTTTGAGGACGCGGTCCTCTGCCGAGCCACCGACGAACTCCGCCAGCACAGCAATGTTTCCCAATCTGCCTCATGCCCCCCAACATCTATCGGGAAATCGCCTTGCCCCTCAACCCAGGTTAAGCTGTGCCTTAAGCCAGCAGCCGCGAACCTGGCACTCCTCCTTCTCCCTCTCGGCGGCGAGCACTGGGGGGAAGAGCGAATGAGAAGGCCTTCTCAGAAGGAGGTGGGGCTTCTCAGAAGGCCTCCGGCCTTCTGAAAGGTCTTTTGCGTCTTTGGCGGCGGCTTAGAACACTTCTCAGAAGGCCGAGGATTAGGTCGGGCATGTCCTCCTAAAGGCAGATCTTGGAAGAGACATTGGAAGCGTTCAACAAGAGCCAGAGGAGCACGAAACATCGGTTCCCGACTACCTTTTTGGCCAGCCTTGAATCATCCCTCTGTCGAGGCACGTGCCCGACTTCAGCCGAGGGACTTCCGCGCCCTCTGAGAGGCCCGCTCCTTCTCACCTCCCCCATGGGTCTCGCCGCCGACGTTCGGGGATCTTCTGACCCGGGTCAATCCAGACCCGGGTCAGCAGGAAACAAAAAAACTGAAATGCGGGGAACAAAAATTGCAACGCAGGTCTTCGCAAACCCGGGTCAGCCAATATGCGCGGCCGCCTCGCGGCCACGAGCGGCTCGCTAACCCGGGTCAGCCAGAGGGGGTCTTCGCAGGATCCAGCAGGATCCGGTGCCATGGCTGACCCCCGTTTGCATTGACCCCCGTCTCGAGGCTCCCGAGACCTTCCCCCCCCCCCCCTTCTCCGGCCGCCCGAGGGGGGCGGGCGAAGCCCGAAGCACCCCAGGGGGGGCAGCAGGGCCCTCGGCAGGACGGCCAGCGGCAGCCCACGGGTGCCGAAAGCGCATGCCCCCAGCGCCTGATCCCTCCCTGCCTCCCGCCTGTGCCTCCTCCATCCATCCCCCCCTCCTGATCCTCCCTCCGCCCTCCTCCCTCCCTCACTCCACACCCCTTGCCCCCTCTCTTCTCTTTCGCCTCCCTCCTCTTCTTCCTCCGCTTCCTCCTCCTCCTCCTCCTCCTCCTCCTCCTCCTCCTCCGCTCCGTCCACAATCCCTCCCTCCACGATCCCGAGGCCAGCCGGCCAGCCGTGTTCCCCGACATGCTGCCCCTTGGGTGAGCACTCCTGGACGGCGTCCTCCCGCAGCCGGACGCCCCCGCCAGCCGAGAGGCGGGCCAGCACCACGCCGAAGAAACACGCCTGTCGTCGCTGCTGCCGCTCCGCCTTCTCCAGCTCTCTCGATCCTCCGCCCCTCGTCGTCGTCCTCGCCCTCGTCCTTGTCGTCTTCCTCCTCCTCATCCTCCTCCTCCTCCTCCTCCTTCTCCTCCTCCTCCTCCTCCTCCTCCTCCTCCTCCTCCTCTAACTCCTGACCGTGATGGCTGCTAGCACATTGGCAAACGATATCACGAAGTGTTATGAGCTCATCGATCATCTCTACGAGCAGGCAGTCGGCACGGGGTTCCAGATGGAGCTCCTGCGGCCGTTTGCCCAGGCGAGCCATGATGGGGTACGGAGTGGACCCCTCGCCTCTCCCCCCCCCCTCCTCACCCCGATTCTCGCCCCCTCCCACCTCGTTCCCCTCTTTGGGGCGGGGCCCAGCTAAGGGGGAACCTCGAGCTGGAATTTGCGATACATCGCCGATAGATGGGCGATCGGCCCCTGATAGCGAAACTGGACGTTCCCGGGCGGGTCGGAACAGCGGGCCCATATCGGCGATGAACGAGCGATTGGGGGTCGATGCGCCCACCCTTGGCCTGCCCCCCCGACGGTGCCCCTGACTCACCTTACGTATACTCCTCCTCCTCCTCCGCCTCTCCCCCTCCTCCGCCCTCCTCCCCCTCCCCCTCCCCCTCCTCCTCCTCCTCCTCCTCCTCCTCCTCCTCGTCCTCGTCCTCGTCCTCGTCCTCGTCCTCGTCCTCCTCCTCCTCCTCCTCCTCCTCCTCCTCCCCCGTTCCCTCCTCCCCCAAATATCCGATGTCTGGACGTTTTCAACTCAGGGCCCCGTAGACCCGGACACGCTAGACCCGGACACCCAATATCCCTCGAAACAAAATACTGCACTGCAGCATTTCCAGAATAAACCCGGACACAGGCCCCCAAAGCCTGCAAGACCCCCCTTAACCCAGACACACACCCGAATCCTGCAGTGCAGCAAACAAAAAATGCACGGGTGCTGAAAAACGTGACTTTGCAGGAAAGGATGTCGTTTCCTTTGTTTTCCGTGTCCTGGTTTATCTGTGTCCTGGTCTCTGGGGGCCTGATCAACACTCAGCCCCCGCAGTCCGGACCCTTTGCTTGCTCGAGGCCAGCGGCTCGCCCTGGACCATTTCCGACGGCTCCCCAGAGGCTGCGAACGACGAAAAAGACACGCCTTGACGTTTCAAGGCGTTGGATGTCTGAATAGCTCTCCCCCATCCGCCACCTCGCCGCCGCAGCCGTGGCCGCCGCCGCCGTGTTTTCAAGGCGTTAGATGTCTGAGGAAGGAGGAGAAGGATGAGAAGGAGGGAGAGGAGGACGAGGATTGGGAGGAGGAGGAGGAGGAGGAGGAGGAGGAGGAGGAGAAGGAGTAGGATGAGGAGGATGGAGGGTCGGGAGGGAGGAGGAAAGGATGAGGCGGAGAAGGAGGAGGAGGAGGAGGCGGAGGAGGAAGAGGGGGAGGAGGAGGAGGAGGAGGAGGAGGGGAGGAGGAGGAGGAGGAGGAGGAGGATGAAGAGGGAGGAGGAGGGGCGCTAGGAGGAGGAAGAGGTGGAGGAGGAGGAGGATGTGAGGAGGATGAGGAGGAGGGAGAGGAGGAGGGAGGAGAGGAGGAGGAGGAGGAGAGGAGGAGGAGGAAGGGAGGAGAGGAGGAGGAGGAGGAGAAGAAGAGGAGGAGGAGGAGGTAGGGGGAGGGGGAGGAGGGAGGAGGAAGCAGAGAGGCGGAGGATGAAAGAGGGAGGAGGAGGACGGGAGGAGGAGGAGGCGGAGGAGGAGGGGAAGCAAGAGGAGGCAGTGGAAGAGGAGAAGGAGAAGGAGGAGGACGAGAGATTGGGAGGAGAGGAAGACGAGGAAGGGGAGGAGGGGGAGGAGGAAACGGACACAGGAGGAGGAGGATGAGGAGGCGGATGATGTAAGAGGAGGAGGATTAGGAGGAGGATTAGGAGGAGGAGGAGGAGGATGAGGAGGAGGAGGAGGAGGGGGAAGGAAGCAGGCGGAGGAGAGAGGAGGAAGGAGGACGAGGGACGATTAAGAGGACGAGAAGGAGGAGAAAGAGGAGGAGGACAGGAGGAGGAGGAGGAGGTAGGAGAGAAGGAGGCGAGGAGGAGGAGGAGGACGAGGAGGGCGGAGGAGGAACATGAAAAGAGGAGGAGGGAGGCGGAGGAGGTGAGTAGAGGAGGAGGAGCAGTAGGAGGAGGAGGAGGAGGATGAGGAGGAGGAGAGCTAGAAAGTGGAGGAGGAGGAGGAGGAGGTGGAGGAGGTGGAGGAGGAGGAGGCGGAGGAGAAGGAAAAGGAGGAGAAGGAAAAGGAAGAGGATTAGGAGGAGGGGGAGGAGGAGGAGCAGGAGGAGGAGGAGGAGGAAGAGGAGGAGGAGGAGGAGGAGGAGGATTAGGAGGAGGAGGAAAAGGAGAAGGAAAGGGATCATCAGGAAAAGGGGGAGGAGGAGGTGGAGGAGGAGGATTAGGAGGAGGAGAAGGTGGATTAAAAGGAGGAGGAGCAGGAGGAGGAAAGGAGGAAGAGGAGCAGGCGGAGCACCGCCACGAGCGTCACGGCCTGAAGCCATCCAGCGCGTCGGCATCCACTCCGTAAATCAGGGACAGCCGTGGGGCCAAGAGAGGGGAACGTGGTCGAATGACCTCTCGCCGGCAGTGCAAGCATCTTGCCGCGCCGAGAAAATCGATACTTCTCTGGCCACCTCGTGACAGCCGTGGATCACGAGACGGTCCTGCTGAGAGCTGCGGTACAGCTCGGCCCCGCAGAGAGCATATCTGTCAGCCATCTTGTTGCCGAGACACTGAACGCGAGTCAGCAGCCCGTCCACCACATGAATGGCGCTGCAGTGGGCGGGCACTTTATGGATAAACACGCGGTCCAGCTTGTCGTGGGCCTGCGCCCACCAATGGGCCGGAAGGTTACACGGGCTCGCAACTGCATCTGGCACCCTGCCGCAAGCACTGCGTGGCGGCTGAGTTGAACAACGGCGTAATCTTCGCCGTCCCTCGCCGCCTGGGAGGAGGCTTCATCCAGCGGCACCACCCCCCAGAGCACGTTGAACACATTCCCATCCCCATCCGTGATCACCACCGACCAACCCGCCACCCCCAAAAACGGAATCAAGCCTTCGAAGGCCCACTCGTCGGTGAAGACATGGACCTCGGGTCCCAAAAACAACCCATCTTAGGGGCCAACTACACCTGTGGAGGCAGCATGAAGCGGGGACGGGAACCCTGTGAGGGAACCAAGCCGCCGGGTCGGGGAACAACCCTCTTTCGAAAGACTCTTGGGCCCTGGGGCCGAGACGGGCCACAAATTCCGCCGCCCTCGAGACGGCAGGGGAGATCTCGCCTCGACGCCACGCCGCCAAACATGGGCAGTCGAACCTACGGTGGAACAGGCTGCCTCTGGCCCCGCAACAGAGGCATTCAGGGCGAATATCTTCGCACTTCGCCGCAAAACGTTCTTGGCACGAGTAGAGATTGGCCAGGAGCCCCCAGAATAGATTTTTGTGGCGGCTGGTCCAGCCATCCGTGCTTTTCTGGAAAGCAAGCCGAAGGCGGAGCGGGAGCAGATGGGGCCTGACCATTCGCCGGCGGACGACTGACGACCCACTTCGTCGGCCACCCCTGCGTCCCAGCACTCCCGCTCGGAGTGCAACGCAAAAAACTCCAGCGAGAAACGGTCGAGCGACCACCACCTGCCCGATCTGTCGGCGATGGCACCCGTAACGACGTCGAGGTCCCATCCAATCCGCCGAAGGGTGAGGAGGGCGGCCACTGGCTGCTTGACCGCGCTCCATGGACGTTTGTTGCTGGAGAAGGCATTGGCATCATCAAAGGCGCTTTGCAGCGCTCCTCTCGTGACCAATGGGTGCCACCAGACTGACACAAAGCACTTGACCGCCGAAACTGCAGTGTGCACCAAAGGGCCCAGAGGAGGAGGCGGAGGAGGCGGAGGAGGACTGGACTGGTCTGGAGCTCATGGAAGTCTGGATCCCACAACAGCAACTCTGACTGCAACATGAAATCGCAAAGACAGCATGACAACTGCTGCAAAGAAGGCTTCAGAGAAAAGGCCTGCGGGCCTCCGCCATTGCGATGACATGGATGGCTGCCGCTCTCTGCTCACGGCAGCACTGGCCATAGCCAGCGACCCCAGGCGGCACGCGACTGCACTCAGGGGGCTGGCTCTGTGGCGTGCGGTTCGAGTCTCCCCCCTCCCGCTCCACGACCCCGCGAACCACGGCCCCTGCCGCCCCGACCACTGGACCTTCCCCCTCCCACAACAGCAGGCGGGGGCGGCGGCATCACAATCACTGGAGTGGCACGGAGCGCTGGATGGCTATATACATTGACCTTACTGCGCATGTTATCTAGGATATTTTCCCTCACTATTCCACGAGAAACGAGCTCACGGAATCGATCATAATTCTGGAAGGCATTCACGGCTCTCTGCTGCCCAAGAGTCTGGAAATCTCACGCTCCAACGGGCCCCTGGGCGCTGCTCCCGAGAGGAGCCGCCCTCCCTTCCATCTTGAGAAGACGCTCGAACAGGTCCGCGGGAGGAGGCGGAGGGGGAGGGGGAGGAGGAGGAGGAGGAGGAGGAGGAGGAGGAGGAGGAGGAGGAGGAGGAGGAGGAGGAGGAGGAGGAGGAGGAGGAGGAGTGGCTCCGCCACCTCGCCGCCGCAGCTGTGGCCGCCGCCGTCTTGGCAGCAAAGCAAAGGGGCCGGGACAGCGGGCGGCGGGGCCTCGCCCGTCCTGTCGTCGTCGTGGGCGGCCAGCTGCAGCTCGAGCGCGGCGCCCTCGGCGATCGCCTGCGTGTCCTCGTCGGGCCCAGCGCGGCGAGGCGGCCGCGAGGAGCGGCAGAGGTGTCGTCATTCTCGGCGTCGTCCCCACGTCGTCGTCGTCGTCGTCGTCGTCGTCGTCGTGGTCGTCGTGGTCGTCGTGGTCGTCGTGGTCGTCGTGGTCGTGATCGTGGTCGTGGTCGTCGCCGCCGCCGTCGTCATCGTCGTCATCGTCGCCGTCGTCACCGTCGACACCGACACCGCGCCAGCACAACAGACGGCGGTGGCGGTCCTGGCGTGAAACGAACAGAAGGCGAAGGGGGGCGCGCCCCACTCGGCGCTCGGCCACTTGCTCCTCCCACTCCTAGCGCCCCCCAACACTCCTGCCATCTGGCTCCCTCCCGCCCGCTTTCTCGCTCCCTCCCTCCCTCCTGCACTCTCGCGGGTCTCGCAGCGAGCGGAGAAGCCATCCCTGGACACACCAAATCCCCTACTACCTCATCCCTCTTGCCCCCTCCTTCATGCCTTCTTCTTCCCCCTCATCGTGATCCTGTTGCTGCAGCTCGTCCTCCATGTTTCATAATCCTTCCTTCTATTTATTATGATTCCTCCTCCTCCTCCTCCTCCTCCTCCTCCTCCCATCCTCGTCGTCCTTTTCCTCTTCTCTCACATACCACCTAGCCGAACACTCTAAACTCCCTGATAAATCCCCAGGGCCCCGATCAAAATCCAAGAAACTATCCACCTCCTCCTCCTCCGCCTCATCCTTTTCCTCCCACCTCCCTCCCCCCCTCCTGCTCGTCCCTCCCTCCCTCCCTCCCTCCCTCGCTCCCTCCCTCCCTCCCTTCCGCCACATCCGCTCGCCTCATCCTGCGCCTCCTCGCTTCCCTTCTTCCCTTTCTCTTATCCCTCCCTCCTCGTCCCCTCCCTCTCCTCCCTCTCCTCCTCCTTCCCTCAGTCTCCCCTGAGGGAGAGGAAGAGCGCGAGGAGGGAAGAGCAGCAGGGAGAAAGAGGAAGGAGGACGGAGAAGGAGGGAGTGAAGGAGTCAGGGAGGGAGGAGCCGCACCCCCCTCCCCCCTCCCGTCCCCCTCCTTCCCTCCCCCCCTCCTCTCCACCGGCGTCCTCCGGCTGCTGGGTCGACAACGCAAGCTGCTCCCAGACGTCGTTGTTAGTCCCGCCCCTCGCGCCGAGGGGGGCGGACAAACTGCTCCCACGCCCTCGGCGCTTCACGCTCGTCCTCGTGCTGCTGCTCCTCCTCGTTTCTCCTAGGGCTGCTGCTGCTGCTGCTGATCCTCCTCCTCCTCCTTCTCCTCCTCCTATTTTTCTTATTCCTCCTCCTCCTCCTCCTCCTCCTCTTCCTCCTCCTCCTCCTCCACCTCCTCCTCCACCACCTCCTCCACCTCGTCCTCCTCCTCTTTTCTCTCCTTTCTCCTGTTCCTTTAAATATTTACGCTGCACTGGGCTTGACCGAGAGATCGCCGTGTCTGTGGGCGGATCAACGTTTGTAGGCGGGCCACCGTCTGTGGGTGGTCCTCCTGCTCCTCCCCCTCCTCCTCCTCCTCCTCCTCCTCCTCCTCCTCCTCCTCCTCCGTCCTCCTCCTCCTCCGTCCTCCTCCTCCTCCTCCTCCGTCCTCCGTCCTCCGTCCTTTTCCTCCTCCTCCGTCCTGGCCGATGCATGGACGGAAGAAGGGAAGGGGGAGCGAAGCTGCAAGACGGGGAGCAGGAGGACAGAGAGCAGCGGGGCTGAAACGAAGGAGGAGGTGGTGTAGGGGGGGGCATGGAGGGGAGATGCCCGCCTTCCTGCGTACCCTGGACGAGCAGGATATCTCCATCGGCGATCTGCACGCGCGGAGGACACTACCACAGGGGTGCCAGGTCCCCGCGCCCACGGGTAACACACCGCTGTCCGACCGACAGCTCACCCAAACAGGGCCCCAGTGCCCAAGCACACTCGGCATCACCATCCCCAGGCACCGCACCGATGAGGACAGGTTCAGTAACCAGACAACTCACAAGGGGTACACAGCCAAGTGCGATGGTTGCCCGCTGGCTGAGCCAATACTGCACTGGCAAGCTGGGGAGGCACCGCCAAGCATGTTCGTCTTCCGCCCTGACCAGCACGTTGACAGCACCCTCGCGCAGGACCTGGTATGCGGCCTCCCCAGCTTCGAGGACTGGTTTCGAGCCTTCCTAGCGAGGGCGTGAAATGCAAAATGGTCCTGTGCGCGTTGCCTGGCCACATCTGGGACGCCAACCGTCAGACGTGCAGGTCATTCTCGCTAGGGATGGGAAGAGGGTTTACCCAGGAGACCCGCGGCCACGCAGGAAGGCAAGCCCTTCGGTCAGGCTCACTGCCAACCCGCTCCTCGCCAGCTCCGCAGCAGCCAGTGCCAGCATGAGCGTCCTCGCCAAGGGCTTGGAGCTACGGATGGCAGAGCAGGCAGCCTTGATTGAAACGAGGACCGAAGGGGACCCGCTGGGACTCTTTTCTGAGCCAGCGGAATACCTAGACACGGCCAACCTCCCGGACTCGGGGGCGCGCAAACATGGATTAGCGATCCATGGATTTGGCGCGCGGTCGCCAAATCCATGGATCGGGGGCGGTGCCCTCCCAAAATGCGGCCTGTGCCGCCCCGTTCGGCGGCGGAAATGTACGATTCCCCATGGAAACGGGACCCGTCGCTAATCCACGCCCCCTTCATCCATGCTTGCGATCGCCCAATGGACATGGCCGACAAGAAGCACGGGGGTCTCACCGCTGTCCGACCCGCGCCGGCGCTGGCGCCATGCCCGGACGGCGCCGGCCTGCCGTGGCGCCCTGAACGCCCCAGGAGCAGCTCCCGCCCTGGCCCGGGCCACTCCCGAACAGGGCCCGGAGACCCCGGCCGAAGCGGGGCACAGAGAGCAGCAAGAGCCTCCCTCCTCGAACCTGTCAGGCGCTGGGACCCCGGTTTTTTCCCTGTCCCCCCCCCTGCCCCTCCCCCCCCTCGCGATCCCACCTTCCAACCTCCCATGGGATGCACAAGGACATACTAGTGCCACGCGTCCTCCTCGGAGGCGTGTGCCCGACCAGATCACGTCGTATAGCCATATTGTTTCGTTTCCCCGAGCGATATGGCCAGAACAGGGCCCACCACGGAGCATGTACTATAAGCTTTCTCGTCGCGCGCGTCGCCCTTCTGGGGGCGACGCACACGTAGTATTAGCATGTTGGGGTGACGCCGATCCCAGCGCGATTCTCCCAGACGCCCCCCCAAACGTTCCTCCCTCCTTCGTCGATCCTGCCGCTCGAGGTGGTGTACGGAGGGCTTCCGCCTCGTCGGCGTGGGCCCTGGCACAGCGTGAGCCGTCCAGTCTGGAACGATCTCCGCTCGCGGAGGTCCCTGGAGGCTCGCGAATTCCACGTGCAGTCAGCGGATGGGTGCACGATGCGGATGCCAAGGCCTTGGAAAACCATGCCGACACTTTTCGAACGGGGCGCGGCCAACGAAAATGGCCATGGATAGGCCGTAGGGAAAGGATACACGGGTGCCCTTGGAAAATCGCTCATCCTTGCTATCAACTTCGATTGTATCATATGAACGAAGAAACAGCGATATTACATAGCGACCTCACATCGCAATTTACGCGAGCAGCCAGCGCGGCACGCTGCATCGAAAGCGAGGGCACTTACGCGCGAACTTACGCGGGCAACTTACGCGCGAATGTCGGCGCAGTCGACCCCGTTTTCTTTTGTTCGCTCATATGTGCTCCGTGACGTGGGGTGCTTGTGTAGAGGCCTCCTAGATGGGGTCCAAGTCGACGGGGTCGGAGGATTTCCCCGCTCGCCGATGTATCGACGATGCATCGGCGATGCATCGCTGATGCATCTGCGACGTCGGCGTAGAGAACATCGGGCTTCACATCGAGCCTCAGGGCCGCTGCATCGGGGATGCGGCGCGATCCTCCGACCCCATCTGTCAGGTGTTGCCAGGAGTGCCCCATGGTGCCCCCGGGATCTTGCCAGGGAGGCACCCACGGCCTCCCGCGCGCCCCTCCCGAGGCCCAGGGGGCCCAGGGGGGCTCCAAAATGGAGCGGGAAGCTGGGGGCACCTCGGGACCTTGGGCCCGGGGGCACCTTCAGGAGACCTGCAGGCTGTGGGTCTCCGGGGCACTGCACGGGTCTTCCGAGGGAGTCGGACCCTGAAGCCCAGCACGCAGCACGCCCACGCCTGCGTCGCCACCGCGCCGAGGCGGCGCGAGCCCGCCGAGGGGGGGGGGGGGGGCGAGGCGCGGGGCGAGGGCTGTCTCTGCGGGGCCCCCAGCCTCCAGTCCGCCAGCAGCTGCTCCAGGAACCTGATCGGGGGGTGTCGAAAACGCAGCTCCTCCTCCTCCTCCTCCTGCCTCTCCTCTTCCTCCCTTTCGGCTTGTTCTTGGCCTCCCTCTCTTCCATTCCCGTCTCCTCCGCCCCGATCCTTCCTGCAACTCCCTCCCCGTCGCACCTTGCGACTTCATGGCCACTCTCCAGACTCTGACACGTCTCACAGTCACAAGGATGGAGAGCCAACAACGTTCAGCATGCGGGTCTCGCCTCAGCGCCGCGAACATTCTTTTCTAAACTTCCAGTCACTACCAGGATGAACGGCTAGTGGTATTCGAAATGCGGCTCTCGCTAAAACGCCGCGTGCATTCCTTTTCGTATTTTCCAGCACCTATCAGGATGGAGGCTGGTTAGTTTTGAAGATGCGGCTCTCGCCTTAGCACCGCGCACATTCGCACACTCACGAGAATGCAGACCGTTTCGTTTACAAAATTCGGCTCTCGTCTTCGTGCCGGCCACATTCGTACAAATACACGGGTGGATCCCAGTCCGCTTTTAAAATGCGGCTCTCGCCCTAGTGCCGCGCCGTCCGTTCAGGAGGCTGGTACATGCAGCTCTCGCCTGTTGCTTCCTCACATTGTACGTCATGAACTTTCCAACGTGCGACTTGGATATGCGGCGTGTGATTTTCAAAATGAGGTTGCTTGAGACCTCTGCCGATGTTACGGCCATATGTTCAACATATATAGAACACGTGCACAAGTGAAGGCAGATCCGTTTTTGGGCTATCGCTGGACACTTCCTTGAACTTTATCACCGTACCTCTTTACTAGAACGACGGAGCGTAGATGCTTTAGATTACAGGGTCTCGACCTCCTCCCTCCTCCTCCTCCTCCTCCTCCTCCTCCTCCTCCTCCTCCTCCTCTTCCTCTCCCTTCCTCCTCCTCCTCCTCCTCCTCCTCCTCCTCTTCCTCTCCCCTCCTCCTCCTCCTCCTCCTCCTCCTCCTCCTCCTCCTCTTCCTCCTCCTCTCCTCCTCCTCCTTCTCGTCTCTTCCTTTTCCTGCCCTCCTCCTCCTCCTCCTCCTCCTCTTCCTCCTCCTCCTCCTCCTCCTCCACCTCTCCCAGCAACCGCCCCTCGACCTCGGGAAACTCAGACAGCCTGAGCAGTTGGAAAGGCTAACCAGCAGAACACGATCATAGAAGATGCAGAAGAGACATACTCGAATCAACTTGCGAGCTATTGGAGCCTCTCGACACAATGGACGACACCGTTCAACTTTAGTCGTCCCTGCGACAACCTGCTCCCGCCCTCTTCATGCTTGTCCTCTTCCGAGAGGGGCAACTAGAATAGGGGGATCGGCTCAGAGGGGGTAACCACCACTTGGAATCGGCGACACATCGCCGGCCGATAGATCGGCCATAGGCCCACGATGGCGAATCCGCACGCTCCTCGGCGGGCCGGGCTATCAGACCCCTATCGGCGATCAAAGGGCGATTGGGGGTCGATACGTCCCTCCACTGGGCCTATCACCCCTATCGTTGCCCGAGATTATGTCCTCTATCCCTCTTCCCCGGGGTCCTCCAAGCCTGCGCCGTGCGGCGAGTGGTGTGGTGGCGTGCCGCTGCCCCAACGAAGCAGCGCGGCCCCAAAGGTGCCGACACCCTTCGCCTGAGGTGAGTTTTCGTCCCTGTCCCTGCTTGATGGCCCCAGAGCCCAAGGGCGAGCCCCAAAGGCCGAGATCCAGGAAAAACGCCCAGACTGAAAAAACAAGCGTACCGCCCGAAGCCAAAACCTCGCCCCCCATCATTTTCCTCCTCCTCCTCCTCCTCCTCCTCCTCTTCCTCCCGGAGGTGGTCCTCCAAAAGATGGGGGCCAACCGCGCCCCCCGTTCTCGTCCGCCTCGCCATCCTCCCGAAGGAGTGAGCCGATAATGCAATCACGAGCCTGACCTGTCGTAAGGTCAACCCCGCCTCCGCCGCACCTTATCCGCTGCTCCTCATCCCTCCCCCCTCCTCCTCCTCCTCCTCCTCCTCCTCCTCCTCCTCCTCCTCCTCCTCCTCCTCCTCCTCCTCCTCCTCCTGCTCTTCCTTCCTCGTGTTCCTCCCTCCCTGCGTCCAAACCTGGGCCAGTCAGGCGTTGTAAGATCCTGCGAGATCCTGCAGGATCCTGCAGGATCCTGCACCCGAGCCGGGGTTAATGCAACCCTGGCTCCGCAGAATCCTGCAAGATCCGGCACTCTGACTGACCCCCATTTGCATTGACCCCCGTCTCTTGATCCACGACCTCCTCCACCTTCTTCTATTACACTCCTTATCCTCCTCCCTCCCTCCTCCTCCTCCTCCTCCTCCTCCTGCCTCCTCCCTCCTCACTCCTCCTCCTCCTCCTCCTCCTGCTCCTCCTCTTCCTCCTCCTCCTCCTCCTCCTCCTCCTCCTCCTCTCCTCCCCGCCTCCGCCTCCGCCTCCGCCTCCGCCTCCGCCCGTCCTCCTCCTCCCCTCCTCCTCCCTCCTCCTCTCCTCCTCGTCCTCCTCCCTCCTCCTCCTCCTCCTCCTCCTCCTCCTCCTCCTCCTCCTCCTCCTAGGTGGCTTCGCAGCGCGCGGCGGCCCGCAGCCGTCTTGCCCTGCGGCGGGCGCGCCCGCCGCGCGATAGCCCCCAGCCCCACGGCGGGGCGACCTCGCGAGCGCGAGCGCTCGCCGGCGTGGCACCGCAGGGAGCGGCGCCAACGTTCCGACGCTCGTGCTCGGCTTCGGCGGCATCGCGACCGCCTGCTGCTGCTGGCGCACCACGGCAGCCAGCCGCCCATGTATGGCTCGCGCAGCGCCGCCCCAGCGGGAGCCGCACGGGCGGCACGGCAGGGGCGCAGCGGCGAGGGCCTGGCTTTGGCTGCTCCCGCTGGTGGGACCCCGTGCCCGACCTGCGGATGCCGCAAGAACGAGGCGTGGTGGCGGTTCTGCAAGCACTGCAAGGGCGAGATCGTGCCGACCCAGGCTCCTCCTCGCCGCCCTCGCTCTGCTGAACGGCGTGCTGGCGGGCAGCGTGCGCCATGGCAGGAGGACGGCGCTGCAGCACGGCGTGACAGCTTGCAGCGTGGCCCAGGCGGCAGAGCCGACACGGCAGGAGGACGGCCACGTGAAGGTTCCAGAGTGCACTTCGCCCTGGCCAACGTGGAGGAGCTGCCCAGCGGCAGCGACGCTGACCCTGAGGAGGCCAAGCTGGTGCAGCTTATCAGCCTGCTGGAGCTCAGCCAGGACGAGTGCGGTGTGCGGAAGTACCAGCAGCAACTTGACGACCTCCGCAGCGCTCGTCGGGCGCGGCCCATGTCGGTCGACGAGGCGATGGCAGCCAGGGACGCAGCTGCTGAGGCCCTGGACAAGGCCGTCGAGCAGGCTGAATCGCTCCAGATACAGATGGACACCGCCAAGGCGATGGTGGCCTCCCGTTCCGCCCAGCATGATGCTGCTCTGGCGGCATACACTACTGCAGTGCAGGCCCTGGCGCACCAGGTGGTTGGCACTACACCGCCGACGGCAGGTGAGGCACAGTCGGGGGCTGCTGTCCATCGCCAAGTTGCTCCAGGGTGACAACGTGGAGCTCGGCGACGAAGGACCCTTTGGGTTGGAGGCCCTCGGGGACTACGAGATCCAGGAGTCCGACCGCGAGGAAGCCGCCAGGAGGAAGGCCGACCTCCAGGCCAAGTTCAAGGCCATGGCGCAGGAGGCCTTCGGCAAGTTCGCCTCCGAGGCTCGCGAGCTCGAGCGGCAGCACGCGGAGCTCAAGGACCGCCTCCAGAAGAAGCGCAAGACTACAGATGCAGCGGAGGAGGGGGCGACCGTCCAAGCGACGAAGGCGAGCGCCACGGCAGCCCCCGAGGCTGGTGCGCCTGCAGCCCCTGCTGGCGGCGCCGCTGGCCCAGGCGGACCCGCGGCCGAGGCCAGCAACGACGTGGTGGAGGCGGCGCGTGCGCGGCTGGCAGGCGCTGCTGCCAAAGGCGCTGGGCGTGGTGCTGGCAGCAGTGGCGGGACCGCTGCCCCTCCACGGACGTCCGTTGGACAGCCCTGCTGTGGGGCACCTACATCATCGGCCACTACAAGTTCATGAAGACAACGCCTACCCTGCTCCAGTGGGCGATACACCTCCGAAGAGGTGCCACGACTGGTTTGGCTACTACTACGCGGGGCACTGCGCTGATCAGCAGTGGACTATATCCCTTCCTGCCCAAACTCACGCACGGGGGCCTGGTCTAGTCTCGGGCGGCTACTTCTACCAGGGCAGCGAGAGTGACGGCAACGATTTTCACTTCTACAGGTCCTGTGACCAAGGCGGGCCGACGTACGATGACTGGCTGGGCGATGCTGGCCCTCACATCTGCGCGGGGAAGGACATGGACCCAGGGAGGCAGCGGGCGCCTGTCCACCAGCGAGACCTCGCACGTGCTTACCCCGAGTGCAGCGACCCCGACGATTCGTGTGACTCCACGACGGCGAGCTCCAACGGTGCAGCGAAGATAGCTACACGGCGTTGCAGCACTACTGCGATGCGGCGAGCACGTGCTCTCGGCCGTCGGCGTCGGCGGGGACTTCGCGCTGGAGCAGCCCGTCCGCGTGCTGGGCACGCCGCATCACAGAATGGAACTTGCTCTAATATCAGATGCAGGCCACAAACCATCGCGTACTCCGTGTGCCGTCCCCTTGGGCCTCTTGGGTCTCGGAACGCTGACCCTTCCGTCTCCCAGAGGGCTGTCGCGGTCGGCGAGCTTTCCGAGTCGGTCCAGCTGGACCCAGCTGGCCCTTGCTCGGCTAGAGAAAGCGACGGGGAGGTAGGCTCTGGGGGGGGCTGGGTCGCCCAAGGTCTCGGCGAGTACGATGCGCCGACATCGGGGCAGAGCCTGCAAGATCATGACCGTCAGCGTCACGGGCTGGGGCTCCCTCCTCACGCAGCTGGAGGAGAAGCGCATCCCCGAGGACGTGCAGGCTGTGCTCATCCAGGAGCACCACCTGGAGGAGGCCAGGCTCGAGGCGGCGATGAAGGCTGCCAAGGCGCATGGTTGGAAGGCGGACCTGTACCCCGCTCGTCGCACTGGCAACGGCGACGGCGCCACGGGGGGAGTCGGGCTCCTGGTCAGGCCCCACGTGGCCTTTCGGCGCCTGCATTTCAATCACGACGGGATCCACGCGCCTGGCACGGCACGGCAGGGGTTCTGGACCACTGACCTGGGGCCCAAGGAGGGGCTGGTGCTTGCTGGCCTGTACCTGCACACCAGCAAGGACCTGGAGGACGTCAACCTCGACCTCCTGTTCCAGATTGGCAGCGTGCTACATGCGGCTGATAGGCCCTACGTGCTTGGAGGAGACTGGCAGAACCTACCCGAGTCCCTAAATTGCTCGCGGTGGCCCAAGGCGGCGAAGGGAGAAGTTGTCGCGCCCAACCAAGCCACGCGCTGCGCCGCCAACAGCGCCAGGGTCATTGACTACTTCGTGATTCGTCAGGACCTGCATGGCTGTCGAGTCCGCACCTTTGATGGATTATCCGTTACCCCGCACAAAGGCGTCATCCTGGAGCTGAATGTCCAACGCGTCCCGCTCATGGTGCGCAAAGCCCATATGGCCAAGGCCTTTCCGTCGAGGCAACTTGTGTGGCCGCAGTTGCCTGGGCCCGACTGGCAGGAGGTGCTGGACATGGCGGCGGCAGTCGGCGCGACGAACGAGCTGGACGAGGCCTTTCGTGGATGGCTGGGGCGATACGAGGACGAGCTGATTCACCACTTCGGCTGTGAGCAGCCCGAGCGCTACCGTGTGCGCTCCAACGGCATTCACCTGGCGTGCTCGACCCTGCAGATGCACTGCCGAGGCCGGGCGAAAGGGCGCGGCGCAGCTGACCCGAGCGAAGGACACTGGCAGTGGTTGGCTCAGCGGCTACGCGAATGGAGATGGCGGCGTGCGGCAGTCCAATCCAACCCCAGCCGTGACGGTCACCAACGACTGTGGCGCCTACAGCTACGCCTCATGAAGTTCGCCCTCCCACAGCCCACACGCTGGCCTGAGATGTGGGAGGCCTGGCGATCGCTGGTGCGACGATTGGACCGCCTGAGCGAGGACGACCTTGGCCACCTGATGCACGACTTGGAGAAGTGCGCTGGCCGTGCGGCCAGCCAAGCCTCATATCGGCGCAACAAGGCGTGGGTGGACTGGTCCCATGACTCCACCACCGACGGCGGCATGCGGCGCGCCTTCAAGTGGATCAAGCAGGATGCCCCGTGGGCATGCACCAACGCTACGGCAGGGCCAGGCGTTGCAAAGTCTATCGTGGACGAGGCACGAGACGCAGTTCAACCCTGGCACGACCTATGGGGACATGGCGAGGGCATCGAAGCAGCACGGTGGCCTGACGACATCGGCGGGATCGAGCTGCCGACGATCGACGACCTTCGGAAGACGGCGCACACCTTCAAGTCAGATGCTGGACTGGGCTGTGGCGTGGTCCACCCTCGCCACATGATTTTGCTCTGTGATGAGGCGCTTCAGGCACTGCTGACGCTATGGAGTTCGATGCTGCAGATCGGCCACGTCCCGCTCCCTATTCGTGTTATGCGAGAGGCGCTTCTGCCGAAACCTGATGGAGGACGGCGCGCGACCGGCATCTTCCCTGGCACGGCGCGGCCGCTGACGCGGATCCTGCGGGCTACGGCAGGCGCGCAGTGGTCGGGCAAGAACAAGCGCAGCTACATCTTCGGCACTGAGGGCCAGAGCTGCGAGGCCTGCGTCTGGCGGCAGGCGGCTGCGGGCGAGTGGGCCACGCATAGTGGTAAGACCTGCTTGTCAATCCTACTGGACTTGTCCAAGGCATACGAGTACATCAGCTGGCATCGCCTGGCTGATCGAGCCAACGAACTTGGGCTCAACATGTGCGTGCTACGGATGCTGATCAAGCTGTGCGCCATGCCTAGGCTCCTCTCATGCGAAGGCATTGTATTCGACCTGATGACGCCCATGCGTGGCGTGGTGGCGGGATGCTCTTTCGCAGATCTGATGATGCGTAGTTTTCTCATTCCCATGTTGGACGATCTGGCGGCAATACCTGGTGTTTCAGTCGGCAACGTAGTTGACGATATCCAGATGCAGGCCACAGGGGCTAGATCTACCGTGGTGCAGCAGCTCGGCAAGGCATATCGCCAGGCAAGGAGTGCCCTGCAGGACGCCGAGCTGCTGCTGAACGAGAAGAAGGGCAAGCTCGTTGGAAACGATCTCCAGGCCAGCGTGGACCTCGGCAAGCGCTGCCCCTCGCTGGTACAAGCCAGAGACCAGTCGACGCGCAACCTGGGCTGCGGCTACAGCTGCGGCAAGCGGCGCGGCATGCAGACGCGGCTGGGGCGTCTGGGCAAGGTCATACAGCGCAGTGTAAAAACCAGGGCACTCCGCAGGGCCAGGGGCAAATGCAAGCAGCTCGTCAGCATGGGGCTCGTCCCTGCGGGAACATGGGGCGACGGGGTCACTGGGAGGTCCTGGAGCGGGGTGATGGCCCTCAGGAGGGCTGCGCGGGCTGCCTTGGTCCCTCACACGGCTCGCAGACCCCTCACCGTCGATCTGGCGTTGGTCCCTGGAGACACCACGGCCGTCGACCCCGCCTACCCCTGCACAGTGAACCCCATCGTGATGCTTGCTCAGGCCTTTTGGGGATCTTGGATGCCTCGGGAGATCCTCTGCCGCATGCTCTACAACGCGGATTTGTCCCTCCGCGAGGCCCGCGCGCCATGGAACAAGGTCGTGGGCCCCGTCTCGGCTGCGCTAGCCTCATGTTTCAGGATTGGGTGGACTCTTGGAACTGGTGTGGGGAAGCTCTGTACGGCCGACGCACAAATGCTTGATCTTTGTCGTGAATACACCCGCACTGTGAGGATGGTTGCCCAGTGGGGGGTCGAGGCATGGCTCCTCGACAAGGCCCGCAGGGAAGAAGGTTACCTCCAGTCCCTCTCCCACGGCCCGTACCTCGCCCCTCTCAAAGGCCCTTGTGTCCAGGCGTACAGATACCGTCTGGACTAGCATGCATAAGGCTACGGTTCGGTGCCTGGCCGCCAATGGGTCCTGGGGGGGCGAGCGGCTGCACAGTGTTGGCCTGCAGGATAGCTCAATGTGCTCGCTCTGTGGGGAGGCGCCTGGGACGGTGGGTCACTGGTGTTGGGGTGACTGTGCGGGCACTTGGGCTTTCCGTCGCGATTACCTCGTGCCACCTTCCCTCCGAGAGGGGGCTCTGAGCCATCCCGATTGGCCCCGTTGGTGCCACGGCCTTGTGGTCGATCCTCGCCCGTGGCTCCCTCGTCCCACGATGGATCTGCTCGTTCACTGGCGTGTGCGTCCTCCCTCGGAGGCCTTCGAAGGCCCATGTTTTGGCGATGGCTCGTGCAGTTCCCTTGTGGCCACCGACCCCAGGCTGCGCAGGGCTGGATGGGGGGTGGCCCAGGTGATTTCAAGCGGTTTTGATGTCCTGGCCTCGCTGTGCGCCCCCCTCCCTGGTTTAAACCAGAGCTCTGAGGTTGCCGAATTGTTCGCTCTCAAGATGTATCTAGATAGTGTTGGCTTCGGCCCCTACGAGTACCTCTCTGATTGCGATTGGGTGGTTTCGATCTTCCGTAAGGGTCGCTGCGAGACCACAGGTGCCATGCACGCCTGTGCTGACTTATGGGAGGGGGTTTGGGACCGCGTGTGCGACCTGGGGGGTGAAATCGTGGTGACCAAGGTGAAGGGTCACGCGCGAGGGCGCGACGACGACCTTGGCGAGGGAGCGAGATGGCGGCGGCTCGGCAACAAGGCTGTCGACGAGTCGGCACGGGCTGGCGCCGCCCTCCACCCCTCGGACCAGGATGCTGAGGATCGTGTGATCCGCTCCCACCGTTTGGTCCAGTATGTAGGGAAGTACCTGGCCAGGACCATCCGTGGAGCGGGGTCAGGTCTTGCGTCCGCCTCCCGCCGCGAGGTGGGGCTTAGGAGGGGTCGCCGAATCGTTCCTCGGCTCTCGGATGATGCTGCGCCTCCCGAGGGCTCCCATGACCCTGTCTGGTTTCCTAGGGGTGGCTACAGGTGCAGCAAGTGCCTGCGTTCGGGAGGAACGGTCCAGATTTTGAAAGCCACTCCGTGCAAGCCTGGTGAGGGCCACCGCGTCTGGACGGTGGGCCCCTTTGTGTTCTGTAGTGTGTGCGGTGCCTACAGTGAACACAACACCCAGAAGCTCGGTCAAGGTTGCCGTGGAAGCTGCCCGCGTGGGTCTGTTGCGTAGGACCGCCTGCGTAAGTTGTGGCGTGGCTGCCACCCCCGCAGTGGGATCGAGCTTCGGGTCTCGGGAGTCGGACCCCGCCCCACCCCCTTCGGCTCATTCGCCCTCGACCACAAATTTAAGGGCCTGGAGGTCATCCCTGGTTCCGAGGATGAAGATGTGGCTTGAGGCGTGGTCGGTCCTGGGTCCGCTCCCGTTTTTAGTTTTGATTTCCTGACGGTGGCACTCGTCTTCCCTCTTCCTCCGCATTTCCCCCCTGGGAGGTGCCCGTCAGCCACCCGCTCGCGCCCTAAGCGCGAGGCCGCTGGTTGCTAGTCTCGACTGCACCCCTCGGCCCCACCAGCACAAACTCCTCCTCCTCCTCCTCCTCCTCCTCCTCCTCCTCCTCCTCCTCCTCCTCCTCCTCCCCCCCCTCCCCCCTCCTCCCTCCTCCCTTCTCCCTCCTCCCTCCTCCATCCTCCCTCCTTGTACGCTCCTCCTCTTCCTCCTTTTCCTCCTGTCCTACTCCTCCTCCTCCATTCCTTCTCCTTATAGATAACTTCTTCCTGTCGCACCCCGAGGCCAGTTTGTAGGGCGGGCCGGGCATTTCGTCTGAGACTTCCTCACCATTTGTGACTCTGAAGCTTACAAAGTGGCAACAGTTTCACAGATGGAAAGCGGGTAGCTTTCAACATGTGGCTCTCGCCTTAGCGCCACGCACATTCGCTTTACACATTTGCAAGAGCTTCACGGATTAAGGGCGGGTGGTTTTCGAAATGTGGCTTTCGCCTTAGCGCCGCGCACACTCGTTTTAAACATGTGCAAGGAGTTTCACGGATTGAGGGCGGTTCCTTTTCAAACTGTGGTTCTCGCCTTAGCGCCGCGCACATTCGTTTAAAACGTGTGCAAGCATTTCATGGATTGAGGGCGGGTGGTTTTCGAAATGTGGCTCTCGCCTTAGCGCCGCGCACATTCGTTTTAAACATTCGCAAGAGCTTTACGGATTGAGGGCGCGTGGTTTTCAAAACGTGGCTCTCGCCTTAGCGCCGCGCACACTCGTTTTAACATTGTGTAAGAGTTCCATGAATTCCCATGGTCAGCGTACCAGAAGCTGTTTTTTGGGGGAAGGGTTCAGGTTTTTGCGAGCGCAACAGCTATGTGGATTCGCGGTGTTGAAATCAAACAACTGGCGTTCTGGCACGATTCCGGATCGTCAAGAGGCAGCAATCAGGTTGATATGTGGCGTTGACATCGCGAGAGCAATGTCTTGGCACGCTTCAGGATCTTCAAACGGTTGTCTTCCAACGAGGCAGTTCCCTCAATGGAAATGAACCGTTGTAGGGGCCTGCGAAGAGGGAGCTTGGAGAAAGGGTTCATTCCAAAATCGTTGATGACACTTGGGTTTACACTGGTCCTCCTGATCCTCCTCCTCATACTCCTCCTCCTCCTCCTCCTCCTCCTCCTCCTCCTCCTCCTCATACTCCTCTTCCTCTTGTTCTCCTCCTCCACCTCCTCCTCCTCTTCCTCTTCTCCTCCTCCTCCTCCGCCTCCTCCTCGTCTTTCCTCTCTAGCCCATGTCGCACGCCCAGTTCACGGACCGTGGCCCGCAGGTGCGTCAACCACAGATTCATCCGAGCTCGTCCTAAGTGGAGGAGGAAGAGAAACAACATGAGACACGATGGAGGATAAACATCTCGTCGTACTCATTCCGTTGCTCGAGCCCTGCTCGTGGGTGGGTGCAGGCGGGCGCCGCCTCAGCAAGGCTGCCCCGACTACGGGGACGGGCTCGCAGCACCGCATCGTTCAATATAGCATCTGAGTAATCCGCCGTTCAGTGCAGACAACTACTCAGCAGAGCATGCAACAATGCGCCTAGTTGTCGCTTCCTGCAAAGAAGCTTTCCGTCTGCATGCAACCACACATATCAATACGATGCGTGGGCAATGAACGCAAGTCGACACCCTGCTTGCAGGTGTTTCCATCTGCAATTCCGTTGAGACTTTGGTCGCCACAATGTGCGTTCTAGAGAAGATCCACGACTCCGATGCCACGATGAGGAAGACAAGACCCCCTCGTTCCGACCATCATTATGATCTCCATCCTTTCACCTCCTGGGACTAACTCCTGTACACTCCGACCTGTCCTCCTTCCTCGAAGGGCGGACTGACGCGAAAGTCCTGCCAAAAGGAATCTCGAATCGGGAACGAAACCCCTGTTTGGCGGCATGTTTGCTCATCATTGCGCAAATGTCGTCGAGGAGCCTCAGGAGGAGCCCAGGAGAAGGACCCGAAGAATCCACAGCCCCTTCAGAACCCGAAGAGATACGAATGGGTGTGCCCCCATTCTTTCGGGGACACACTGACCCAGGGCAATGCAAACCTGGGTCAGTGAGGCCTTGCAGTATCCTGCAAGATCCTGCGCGCAAGCCAGTGTCAATACACCCCTGGCACTGCAGGATCCTGCATGAGACGGCGCTCTGGCTGACCCCCGTTTGCATTGACCCCCGTCTCTTACAGCTCGATTCCCCCTTCTGCAAAAATCTCTGGCCCAGAAACGGCCCCAAGACGAAGTCGGGACGGGGACAAATTCGGATGAAGATAAATCAAGAATCTATGAGATGCGGCGGCTCTGGATGTCTCGGGCGCCGCGGGCTCTGAGACCGAAAGCGTTCCAGAACGCTCTGGAACGGATTTATCCTGGTCTTAGTCCCGACCGATCCCAAGACGCGGGCGAGAAGGGAGTGTGAGAGCGGATCCGGAGCGCGAGCAGACAACCTGCTCGACGCGGTCCTCCGCCGCGACTCGGGACGTGACACGGGGGCCCTCCAGAGAAGAGCCAAGACTCCTCTTCGACGGGGTGCATTTCAAGCACAGCGTGCAGGGAAAAGGAAGAGGGAGGGAGGAGGGTGAGGCCTCAACCAGTCGTCGGATGCAAATCGCGACTGGCTCCTCTTCGAGGGGGTGGAGGGGTGGCAGGAGGGGGGAGGGGGGAACGAGAAGGAGGAATGGAGGGGAAGCAGACGAGGTAGGACTAGGAGGATCTGTCTCCAAGGGGAGTGGAGGGAGTAGAGATGGGAAAAGGTCGCGGAGGGTGAGAGGGAAGCAGACACACATATGAGGAACACATGGCGTTTCACCAGCGAACCTGTTCCGCGCCACCACCGCTGGCTGCCGCCCACCAGCTGCACCAGCGGCGTCACCCATGGCCATGCAGCTCAGAGGGAGGACTCGCTCGAGCAGGTCTGAAAATCTGGCAGCTGGCGCCTGGTGAGTAGTGAGGGCGCCTGAACAAACTCGGCTCTCGCGGCGAGGACATAAACAACGATACTCCACTCCTACCCCGCGTCCTTCCCCACAACCTTTGCAGGGGCCATGCAAGGCCGCTGCCCTGGAGAAGTATAGGGCGGGCGTCTGGATTTTCGCATGCATGCATGAAGCTGGCAACGCCTTGCGCGATACACGGGGCTAGTAACCATAGCCGTAGTAGTTAGCAGGAGTGTTAGTTACAATTCGTCAAAACATTGGAGCTTGTTTGAACACATACATAAACATAATACGTAGGTGGTGTTATAGGTGCTGGTAGTACGGACGGTGTCGACTGCAGACGGCGGTAGCATGTGTAGCCGTAGTCATCGTTGTAGCAACAAGTCGGCAATACCAGTCGCAATACAGTGTTCTTCGTGGTAGAATATATACCACTGGCAGGCGCAAGACAACTTTAGCTCTCGTGGTAGAACTGCTAGCGGTAACCGTCGTACTTACGTGCGCATTCAGTCTGCCGTATACACGTAACAGTTATGTGTCTTGACGGCCCAACATCTCGTGGTCAGTTGTGTACATCTGTGCTCATAGTCAGGTCACGCCAGGGGTCAACTGCCAACCACTCTCGCATCGAATACGGTTGAAACGATCGTCACTCCCCTGTGGAGATCTCAACCAAACACAGGTGATGAGGCAACTCCCGACGCAGGAATCATACGGGACAACAGCCAATACATTCCAATACCCTCCCAACCTTCCTCTAACTTCTCTCCCCTTCCCCCTCCTTTCGACCATCTCCCGCTACCTCCCTATCCTTCCGTTCCCATTTCCATGATACCACGTGCTCCTTGATTCTCCCCCCCTCGACCTGCTCCGTCCCGCGCCTCACAACCCACGTCTCTGCTTCCGTCGCTGGCCTCTCCCGAACAGTCACCCTGCTTCCTCCCGGTGCCTCCTTCGCCTCCTCCTCCTCCTCCTCCTCGTCCTCCTCCTCCTCGTGCCTCCTCCGCCTCCTCCTCCCCCTGCTCGACCTCCTCCTCCTCCTCCTCCTCCTCCTCCTCCTCCTCCGCTTCGTCTTCAACTCCATCGTCCTCCACGCTCAATATGAATACCTCTTCTGTCTCCAAATCACGTCCAAACGCAGTCAAAATTCTGCCGAATGCGGGTGTTACTTGGGTGGCGTATGGGATTTCAGCACATGTGGTGTTACCTTGGGTTTTCAATCGGCGCGTTCAAAATGGTGTTGGCGCTGCAATGTTGGCCTCATTTCAAGATCGACGCTTTGCTCGGGTCGATCAGATGGCGCTCTCGCTCTGGATCCAAGTCATCCCTCGTCATTGTCGCCCCGCCCTTATCCCTCCTTCGCATTTCCTTGCTCCTCCTGCTCCTCCCGTCCCTCCTACTCCTGCTCCTGCTGTTCCTCTTCGTCCTCCTCCTTCCCCATCCTCCTCCTCTTCCTCCGGCTCATCCTCTTGCTTATCCGCCACTCCTCCTCGTCTTCCGATGTGCACAGCTCCTCTTTCTGATTGCGCATGAAACCGATGCAGTCCTCTTGGAGGTTCCAGGTCCGCCATGACACCCGTCGCTGGTTAGAGAAGCATTGGACGGGACGGGGTGGAGAGTCACCAGCTTGTCCTCCTCGCCTCTCCCCCCTCTCTCCTCCTCCCCTTTGCTCCTCGCCCTCCTCCGCTTTCCCCCCTCCCTTCCCCTCTGGTGCCCCCCTCCCCTCCGGTGCCCTCCTCCCCTCCCCCTCCCCTCCTCCTGCGCCCCCCTCCTGGTCGGGCCTGGCTCGGGGCGTGGCCGCTGGCCAGGCCTCTCGCGCGCCGAGAACACGCCCCCGACCGGCTGCGGCCGCGCGCCCCGCAACAGACCTGCCCGCTCCGTGCCTCGGGCATCGCGGCAAGGGGCCCAGGACGCTGTGCTGCCCAAGATGCCCCTTAGGGCCTTAGGGGAGCAAACAATGACATACAGTGGAGGCCCGTCCACAAGAAACCTCCCACAGGAAACCCAACCGTGAGACCCCAGGAGGTCCTTGGATTTGTGGTCTGGGAGCGTCGCGCTTTCCATGGCAAACCATCGGGGCACCCTGGAGGCAGGCAGGGTGTTTCTTGGCATGGACCTCCACTGAAACTTACACTTTCGGTGGTTCGTGCGGATTTCTCGGATCGGCGCTGGGGCCCCCCTGGCGGCGCCTCCGACCGACGCCGCCCCCAGCGCGCTCCGCGTACCAACAGAAGGGGAGCTCCAGCGCCGATCCAAGAAGTCCGCGCGGGCCTCCAGAAGCTTATGCTTGCGTCCATGCTTGCTCCCCCGATCCCTGGCTCAGGATCTCCAGGGAGGCCACCGTGTGGCCTCCAAAGCTCCCCCCCGAGGCCGCGGGGACTGCGACAGAGAGCCGGGAGGTGGGCACACCCTGGGCCAAGACAACCTGTGGCAAGCCCCGGAGGCACGGCGGCGACGGCCGCAGCCGCCCACACCGCCATGCTGCCTCGAAGCGCGGCACGCGACGGGGCGCTCCGCGGCGGCGCGTGGAGCCCGCGGCCTCGGGGCGGGGCCCTCGCAGCTGCGCGCCCGCTGGCGCGCCGACGAGGAGGGGGCGCCGGCGCGCAGCCGCCGCCGAGCTCGCCGCAGCTGCGCCGAGCGCCGCACCGGGAGCCTCTGCAGAGGCTGCCGCGGCGCCCCCCGCGGAGGCGCAGGCGGCCGCGCGCGAGAAGGGGCGCAGGAGGCAGCGCGTTCGGAGAGCGGAGGCGCTGGCGCCGCGGCGGCGACCCCTCTGCGCCGAGGGAGGGGCCCCCGTTGCTTTCCAGGTGGCCCTCGGGGCTCTGCTCGTGGCCCTCGCAGCTGAGCCGGTGGCTCCCGCGGCTCACCTGGCAGTCCTCGCAGCTCTGCTGGTGGCCAGCGACCCCTGCCCACGGTGCAGTCTTTCGTCCCGGATCCAGTCTCGACGGCCCCGGGGCCCGAGGGCGGGCCTCGGGCGGGGCTGCAGGACGAGGGCCAATCCAAGCCAGAGCCTCCTGGAGCACTCCGAGAAGGCCGCGGCGCCCGAGACATCCTCCAGGGCCGCGGGAGCTCAGAGATTCTCGATGGACCCTCGCCCGAACTTGTCCGAGCCGGCGGCTCGGCCCGTCGAGGGATGGACGAGGGCGGCTCGGGAGCCCCGCGGGGTTCCACCGGCGGCTGCCTGGCGGCGGCGGCAGGTGGGCGCCCTCGAGGAGGACCTCCTGGGCTGGACGCCCTCGGGAGCGGCCGGGGGGGGGGGGGGCGCGGCTCGCGGCCGCGGGGCAGGGAACAGCGGGCGCCAGAGGGAGCCGACAGCGCTACTCCCTGGGCCCCTCCACTGGGGTGCGCTCTGGCCAGCATCTCGAGGGAGAATCCGCGGCGGCGAGCGGGGGGGCGGGAAGCGAGAAGGAGAAGGCCCTACTGACCTGGGTCAATCCAGACCTGGGTCATTCAGGCTTTGCAGGATCCTGCAAGATCCTGCAGGATTCTGCACCCAAGCCAGGGTCAATGCACCCCTGGCTCTGCAGGATCCTGCAAGCTCCGGCGCGCTTAAAGAGCCCTGTTTGCATTGACCCCGTCTCTTGAGCCCCGATAGATAGCGGCGGGGCTTCTCAGAAGGTCTCTGGCCTTCTAAGAAGTTTTCAGTGTCTTCGGGGAAGGCTTCGAAAACTTCTCAGAGGGCCGGGGGAAGTCCGAGCCTTCTGAGAAGGCCTCCGCCGCCGAAATCCGGCGGGGGCCACGAGGACGAGCAACGGTGTCAATATCCTTTCCTCCTCTGCGGGGATAACCCGGGCCAGGCGAAAGGGGGGATAGCAAAGGGGGAGGGGGTGAGAATCCGCTCATGTAGCTGATTTTCCTGGCGCCTCCTGGCGCAGGGAGGCGCCCATGTCTCGAGGAATGGGCCCGGCGGCGGGGCCGAAACCAGCTGCATGCAGCAGATTTCGTGACCCCCCCTTTCCCTATCCCCCCTTTCGTCCGGCCCGAGATACCCGATGTCACGGCGCCCGACGGCGGGCGCGGGCGCCCGCTGCCGGGCTCTTCGGCTCGGCCTGTCACGGCCGAGGCCGGCCTTCGGCGGCGCTGCGCAGCGGGCGGCCCCGGGTGCGCCGCGGCGCACACGGGG